TTTTGTGTCGTCGATCAAGAAGAAAAATAACCGTTAAATACATTACAATATGATATAAGAATTATCGGATCACTATGACCGACTTTCGTCCCTGTTTGAGACGCATCGGACTTTGCCATCATAGACGCTGAGGGGTGAGATCGGGTGATCGCGTTCAAATCTCGCCAGCATAAGGCTGCGAAGAGGAATTACCCAGTCCACGACATAGAATTACTTCCGATGGAGTTTGCACTTGTCAAGTTCAAAGTGCATCTGCTTGGCTCAAGCCGTTTGTGATCTACACATATAGTGCATCCTTGCGCACTGCGACACAGCCGCCTCACCTCTCGCACGAAATGGCCAGGTGTCTCTCATTCTTTGCAGAATATTACTTCGAGGTGAAGTATAATCCAGAAAAATAGAAGTCTTCGGCTAATGCGTTGTCACACAGACCAGACTACGAGCTTGTTCACGTAGCGACGGTAACGTCGTCAGTGACGGATTTGGTCCGAGTCGCATACGCGGGTGACAATATATGTGTAGCACTGCTATGGGCTCTCGGGAGTAAGGAGTTTCAGAACTCGAACAAAAACTGTCGGTGCGTTTGTGCGCACGGTTACACCGGTTTCGTTGAGTAACGGTTTGCTGTATTATATCACCGATTCAACAAATACGCCACGATTTGTAGTTCCTCACAATGAGGATTTAGAATATCGTACCCTCTATGAGGCCCACGACATCCCACTTGGTGGTCATCTCGGTCGTGAGAAGACGTACAGCTGGGTTAGTTGCCACTATTAGTGGCGCAAGCTGTACAAGTGGACGAACACCTATGTGCGCACGTGTGAGGCGTGTCAGTGAGTGAAAACCTCTACGAATGCGGCGGCGCCGCTCGCCAGCTTACCGGTACCCTCCGAGTGTTAACAGTCCATGAGTATCGACTTTGTGTTTGGCCTGCCGAAGGACTCGGCGAATAAACCGATTGTAGTGGTCTTTGTGGACTGTTTGAGCAAGATGGCTCATCTTGCGGCAGTGCCGGACACTATCGACGGTGTTGGTACAGCGACGCTGTTTGTCAATCGTGCCTCTCGACAACATGAACTCACGGAATCAATTGTATCTGATAGAATTCCACGCTTCACTGGGAAGTTATGGTTGACAGTTTTCAGGGTAAGTTGACTACTACGTATCATCCGCAGACCGATGGTCAAATTGAGCGCCTGGATCGTGTCGTTGAAGACGATCTCGCAGCATCTGCGTTGAGACGCCGAAGCGCCATGCTACCATCCGTAGAGTTTGCTCTGAACAATAAGGTGCATTCATCTACCGGCTACACGCCGTTCTACATGAATGGGCTTGACCATTTTCGCGTCCCGCTGACGCCGCCATCCCGTGGCTCAGGGCTTGGTGGGGGAGGAATAGTCGAACGGCTAGCTGATGTCAGCTCTCTCGATGTCCGTAAAGGAGTCGATGACTTCCTGTCTACCAGACTGAGTGACTTACGACACGTTCGCGATGCGATGGCTTAAAGACAAGACATACAGAAGGAATATGCAGACGGAAGAGGAAGAAGAAATGTTGAGAACATTGAGGTCGGAGATCTGGTCTTTTTAAATCCTAAAACCTTCCTACACATGCAGTTTCCGCTATCTTTATGACGTAGCTCCGTCCACGGTTTGTTGGACCTCTTCAGGTCGTGGCTAAGGGAGGCCTTGCTTATACGCTGAACCCTTTGAGAAGAATGCGAACAAAACCTGTGTTTTTTGTGGGCTTGTTTAAGCCGTACCGGGACCCCGCGCAAGTGAACGCGTAAGCATTGGCGCCGGGGGCGCTCGTACACCCAGAAGGTTAGCCAGCAACTGGTTCTGTGCACGGAGTGCAACAATTTCCATTTCCACCGGCGCAAGGCGCTTCACCGTCTCACGAAGTCTACGACTTATAGCCGATCCGACAGAAAGCAATAATCCTCAACTTGAGGCAGTCGGTGCACAAAGTGATGCAGGCTCTCGGAGCGAGGAGGAGCTATAAAGCGCGGTTGCTGCCTACATATACAGTCTCCGTAACTTACACTACTCAGCAACCTCGTTACATTGGACCGCCCACGATCATATCGCGGAAAGGATTGGGCTATGCTTTCAGCCCTCCCTCTCCGAAAACGCAAAACCGGGCTTGCTATAGCCATACCACGATCCCGAACGCACGAAAAATTGTATGCAGAGCGCACCTCGAAGACAAAGCAGCGCCTCAACCATCCCCTACAGCTGTGCTCTCCTTAGCTATAGGACAGCCATACGTCTTTGAACCACTTGAAATATCTTAAGTTACTATACACGATGGCATAGATCAAAGAGTGCGTTCAAAGAGTCGTTTTTTGTCGGTACTCGGAAAGAGTAAACATTCTGTCATAGCCAAGAGAGCTCACTCAGAACAAGCAGCGGGAGATTGCCCTCCGCCTACGCTGCTCGATGATCATAGAGTAATTCACGATCACTTGAAAAAAAATTGATCAGTGAGCATATCAAGAAATGAAAGGGATACCCTGAAAATGGAAGTACTACCATTTTTTCAATAACTAACAGAAAATTAGGGTATTAATTCGGCAAGAATGAACTAAGGCCTTTCCACTTACGACTTAATATACACTTTCTTTTATCTGTTCAGATGACGCAGCTGGGTCACCCAACTCAACGCGCTTTCTTGCCGGAAGCGCGACCTCGTCTCAGAATCGAGACTTGGCCGGTAGCTGTAATAGCGGGCAATAGAGCCGATCAGAGCTCAAGACAGGAAAAATTAATGTGGTGAGCATTTGCCTTCGCCCTCTTGTCATGCTTTGTACTTTGCAAACAAAGAAGCAAATGACTTTTCAGTTTGATTTCTGTTTCATTAAAGCTGGTTTTTAAAGCTGTGAATTGGTGAATCGACGTGCCTTCATCACCCAGTGCACGTTCAAGAGCAGTACTCTTTGCCATTTTACCACAACGTATCATCGCGAGGGGTTCGCCGTCTTTCCTTGTGTGAGAGCTCAACTCTTCCGTACTTCTCAGCCGTGATCAAATGAATCCCACAAGATATCGATGATACTGAGGACGGCAGCTGGGCCGGTGAGAGACATTTCTCTTCCTCTACAGTATGACAGAGGCTCATGGGCTCTGGCGCTAAATAAGTGCTTAAATTTCTAGAATCCTATGCCCTTGCGGTGCGGAAGTTATGATCTGCGCTGAATGCGACGCCGACGATTTTCGTAAAACGGTGGATGTGAATGGTTTCATAGCTAGTCACACCCATTTTAATACCCTTTCGAAACGCCTCTTTTATCGATGCATTTTTAGCGCACACTCGTGCGAGCGACCTCCTAGTCTTGGATTCGCAAGCGCAACGCACTGTACTTCCGTTTGAAGTAAGTCTGACTTCGTGGCCATCTTTACACTATTTCTCTGTAAAATGAGATGTTTTATCGCCCCGCCCTCTAATGGCCTAGACGATCACCATTAGCGGTCCCGCGATGGGATTCATCAATTCCTCCACCGCGCCGTCCTGGGGTACTCCTGAACGTGCCTCATCCTCATTCTTTTTTCTGGTGAGTGCAAACAGGCGAGCAATGAACGCTCTCAGTGCCTTGGTCACCAACAATCTGATACCGTCGAAACCCGGGAGGTACAAAACCGGGTTAAGCTGTTGACAGGTACTGATTTTTGAGGTTCACTGTTGTAGAGGATACAGTCTTTTCATGCCTCAGACGCGTGCTGCCAAGCGCAACAGAATTCCCTGCGTTTTACACATAAAAGAATGTTTATTTGACAAACGAACTGAATGTGGGTTCGTGCGGTTGTACTAGGATTGAAACCGAGAGCCATTCAAGTGACAAGCTACCAATTTTGCTTTTGATCTATTATTTGTTATATATTTTTGATTTGCTTTTGATTACTAAATATTGATAAATTCGTTCTACAATCAATAGTAATAAACTCACTGTATTGCATAGCATAGAATAGAATCCCACACTTTCGACAGAAGCTTCATCTCCCTCAATCGCACCAATACTAGTTATTGTACTGCCTTATAGTATCATATTCTGGTATCTTTGAGCCTGGTTCTAAGTTCGAGGGACCTCATTGTATATTTACGAAAAGCATAACAAAGTTTGTGCCCTGTAGACCGAATTCATACTGTACTGGGGCCAAACCCACTATTTCTTTCAATACGCTGCGCATCAGTGAATGCTTAACGAGCAGCCACTGCGCCGGTAGTTCTTGACCATCCATGGAAAGTAGCAGTGTCTGTTCGTACGAGCGTGAATCGTTTTAAGACGTTTGTCTATTACGTGTCTGCATATATCAACGAGCCACTAGAAAAATACGTGACCTTTACACCCGGCGACCTGCGAGCCGTACCCACTGAGGCGGCCTAGTGTTTTCCAATGAAATACATCACAGTGATTCTCTGGGCTCCTAACCGACACCTTTGTTCTCACCGAGAGACATACGAAATATCCATTAATCAAATTGAGGTGATTTCGATGGCGGAGATTGTGACGACACCTCGCTGCGGAGCACATGTCGACGTCCTGCACGATACCGATGAGCGAAATATGGCTTAGAGAGTCAAATTTTCAAGCGCAAGAGTCCCAAAAAGACTTTTACAATCTGGTAGCGTCAAAGTAATGAATTTAATATGTCGAAAGTTACTCACCGCGCCGTTTTAAGTCCTTACGCGGATATGCCTGCAAGCCTTTCGATTAGCAAAACGAGCGTCTGATAGTTGCTCGGCGAGATCTTTTCGACCCTTAGGTCACCACTCGCACCTGCGTCTATAGCAGATGTGGTCAGATAAACATGCACCTTCGTGCCTCCCGAAGGTGCAGAGTGGATTAAAAAGGACTTTATAGTACCTCAATGTGGCCGTGGTCGAAGGGGCTTGGTATTTAAAAGCAGCTCTCTCCAGGTGGAACCATTTGTTGTTTGCTGATGTTAATATCCCGAGTTTTCTGTAACGGTAAAAAATTGTTATTCAGGTTCCTGTGACGTTTGCGCGCGACTATGGAACCAGTAGACGGTAGACAGAGGCGTCAAAGATGCCAAAAATTCGTGGTTTCATGACAGGTCAAGAAGGTTCTCTTGAGCCGTTAAAGAAAGCGCGAGGA